GGGGGGGGGGGGGGGGGGCAGGCAGAGAGTTCAGCATCCTCACGGCCTGATGGACGGAGCTGTTCCACAGTCTGCTGGTCCTAGAACTGAGGCTACGCAGTCTCCGCCCTAATGGCAGCAGGTTGAAGAAGCAGTGTAGCGGGTGGTCAAGATCTCCCACCCAGCAGAGGGCTTTACTTCTGAGGCGAGAGCTGTGGAGGTCCTGAAGGCAGGGGAGAGAGGTGCCAATGATCTTCTCAGCTGTCCTCACGATCCGCTGGAGGGATTTGCGGCAGGATGCTGTGCAGGCCCCGTACCACACAGTGGAGCAGCTCATCAGGATGCTCTCGATGGCCCCCCTGTAGAAGGTTGTCATGATGGGGGTGGGGGCTCTCGCTCTTCTCAGCTTGCGGAGGAAGTAGAGCCATTGGTGAGCCTTTTTGGCCACTGCTGCTGTGTTGATGGTCCAGGAGAGGTCCTCAGAGATGTGCACACCCAGGAACTTGGTGCTGCTCACCCTTTCCACAACAACACCGTTGATGGATAGTGGAGCATGTTTTGTCTGAGTTCTCCTGAAGTCCACAACAATCTCCTTGGTCTTCTCTGTGTTCAGCAAGAGATTGTTGCGTTTGCACCAGGAGACCAGCTGGCTCACCTCGCTCCTGTAGAGTGACTCATCGTTGTTGCTGATGAGGCCTACCACAGTCGTGTCGTCCGCAAACTTGATGAAGAGGTTGGAGGGGTGTGATGGAGAGCAGTCGTAGGTTAGTAGAGTGAACAGAAGGGGGCTCAGCACACATCCTTGTGGGGCCCCCGTGTTCAGAGTGATGATGCTGGATGTGTTGCTGCCAACCCGTACTGCCTGTGGTCTTCCGGTAAGGAAGTCAAGCAGCCAGTTGCACAGTGATGTGTTCAGACCCAGACTGTCCAGTTTCCAGATGAGTTGTTGTGGAATGATTGTGTTGAATGCAGAACTGAAGTCGATGAAGAGCATTCTGACATAGGTGTCTTTCTTGTCCAAATGTGTGAGGGCTGAATGAAGAGCATTTGAAGAGCATTTGCTTCTCTCTTTGGGGGGTGCGGGTGTCCCTTTTGGGAGACTCCTGGAGCTCTGGGCTTGGGGACCACTGTGTGCCTGTGGTTCCGGTCTTCCCTGTATTACCATCGTGTCCTGTGGGGATGGGTCTGTGGGTCCCCACATCCACTACTGAATATTTTTATGGAGAAACCTTCTAGTGATAAGCATGCACACACAGGTGTTTAGATTCAGGTGTTTATCAGATACACACTCAATTGGGTTGTGGAGACCACTAAATATATCTTGTATTATCATGTACTGTATAAAATACTTTCTAATGATGTTACAAGTATCATTATATATGTTGTTTCTTGTTGTGGTTTCTCGGTTTTGTCTTGTTTTTTTTCTTTCCGCAGGTCTAGAGTCAGACTTCAGTGATGTTGATTTGTGTTCTCTTTATTCCTCTCTCTCTCTCCTCTATTCCGCTCTCCTTCTTTACCTCTTAACCCTTCTCTCACTTTTCTGCTTTGTTTTTTTCTTTGTTTTTCATCCTCATGTCCATTACATATGAAACAAGCCCAAAGCAAATTCTAATAAAGCTTTATTTTTAATCAAGTGTAGATTAAGGCCAGCCATAATGCTCTGCTTGTGAAAGTAAATCTGTTGGGCATCACTTTGACACTCAGACAATAATTCTAAGTGTCAGAATGCTGGACAGGACAAGGGCAGGGGGGGACACCTCTCAGAGTGGAAGTTTTCTGGAACACGCCCGCTGATAATGTAAACATTTCCCGCAGAGCGGTGAAAGCACATGCGCACAACAGGCGTTTATTTCACGCACACACAGACCAACGGCATATTTCTATCAACAACAATGATGGCGGAGTGTAACAATACCTTTCTGAACTAACTGATGGAATATGTTTTGAGTCTCGTGGTTAATCTACACCGTAGTGTAGCTGCTGTGACCAACATCTGTGTTGGGAAGAGACGCCAGTCGGATCCAGTTCAAAATCGCTTTTTATTGAACGAGCCTGTCAAGGCATGCGTATATTTCACGCATCACGCTGCACTATAACATACTAAATGTGATATATAATAACAGTTTAACAATAATAAACAGTATTTCTGTTAGTGATAGGAGATACAATGAAGCTATGCTAAATGAAGCGATCTGGACATCATGCACTTCAAGCTATGTGATTTAACCCGTTGATGATGTGAAACATATTGCGTTATTAAAGTTGAAAATGAAGACATCGGGTTTAATTTTTATTTATTTATTCAACACCACAAAGTGTATGTCACACAAACACAGATAATTAAACTGAACACACTATTACAAACACATTAATTGAACTGTAAACTACATGAACTGTACTCTTCCTCTCTGTTGTCATTCTGTTTACTGACACCATGTTGTTTATTTGGCTCATTCAGGCGTCACTCCTTTGATTAATGCAGCTTAAAACATTGAATGGATCGAAAAAAAGAACTGAGGGGAATTTTAAATAAATAATTCATCCAGCATCTCTCTCTTCAACGTCCTCCTGCACCGCACCTGGGCCGAGGCTCTTTTGGAACCGATCCACCTCTATTGGGAGGGCAGCTTTTCCTCGCAGGAAAAATAAAAACTTGGTTGTTGTGTAACCAAAGTAAACACAAGCAAACATTATTAAGAACATAGATTTACCTGCTGTAAATTGGCTACTGATTATCACGGAGTAGAAAGTCCGACATCATCATTGTCAGTTCTCTTCCGTTCAGCGACCGGTGTGTAGCTGTTAGATGAAGCGCTCCTGCTTGGCGTCAAGTCTGTCGACTCGTATCCAAAATCCAGCTTTAACTTGTTGTTAAGCTCTTGTTAGCAGGGCTTTTAGCCCAGAGGAAAGTCCAGTGGTCTGAGGCAGTATGCATATGCATTAAGAGAATGTATAAAATTCACAGCGCCAACTAATGTCCCGGCATGAAAACTACTGCAGGGTGGGAGTAGGGGGGGATTCTTGCGGATGCATGTAAACACAAAATCTTTCCGTGTCAACAGAGGTTTTCCTCAAATTAAAAGTTGAAAAACGTTACAAAAACATTTGAAGCTCTCAACCTTGACCTCTCTAAGTGGCTTTAAGAATCTGTTGGACTCCTGGCAAGGACCAATGCAGACATGTTCCTGTTTTTAGTTTTCTACATTCGCCTTAGAATCTAGCTGTTTTTTTTTTTGTTACCTTTTTTTAGCCATCCTATTTGTTTAAAAAAACAAAAAACTGGAGTATGACTTTTTATAACTGTTTATTGTTGTCGCTGTTGTCCATTGTTGTCATCATTCTTTGTTGAAATCAGGTCTCTCTTGTAAATGAGTCCTCGAGGCTCAATGGGATTTACCTGTGTAAATAAAGGTTGAATGAATGTTTCCCCCTGCCGTGTCTGTGTAAATAGGGCCTTAAGGAAAATGTTATTCAGTGGCAGGAAGCTTGCTTTCTTCTTTCTTTCTTCTTCTTTCAGCTGCTCCCTGCGTTAGGGGTCGCCACAGCAAACTAAGTCACATGAAAACTTGGTAATTACTTTTACACCGGATGCCATTCCTGACGCAACCACAGACCACAGAGCTAGCACAGCCCTCTGTATGGAGCAGGGAGCTGCTATCCAGGGTGCCCGGGGGAGCATATGGTGGGGGTTAAGAGCCTTGCTCAAGTGTCCAGAGGTGGGGGGTGGGGGGGGATGTGGGTGCTTCACCTTTCCCACCCAGATTTTTGATGTTGTCGGTACTGGGAGTTGAACCGGCAATCTTCCGATCACAGGCCCACCTTCTCTACCCTCTGCACCACCACTTCCCTGGCAGGAAGCTTGGTAGCCTGTCAAAATAAAATATCCATCCATCCATTATCTTTACCCTCTTCTTCCTTTTTGGGTTGTGAGGGTCGCTGGTGCCCATGTCCAGCCATCTCTGTTCAAGAGGCAGTGTACACTCTGGACAGGTCTCCAGTCCATCACAGGGACACATTAAGACAAATGAGACAAAGCCACTCCCTCTCTCACACACCTAGAGACAATTTAGAGTTACCAATCAGTCTAGCATGCATGTTTTTGGTCTGTGGGAGGAAACCAGAGTACCCAGAGAAAACCCACGCAGCACGGAGGGAACATGCAAACTCCACCCAGAAAGTCCCCCGAACTGGGATTTGAACTAAGGTAACCTGCTCGCTGAGAGGCTGCTGCTCTACCAACTGTACCATTGTGCTACCCAAAGTAAAATATAAAAATAAATAAAATATTATAATCTTGAAGTACATAAGTTAGTCGCTCCTGTATATAAACCGCAAGGTCAAGTGTGAGAAAAAAGTAGCGGCTTATACGCCGGCAATTACGTCAATCAGTCACCTGTCAATCAAAATGTTTATTGTTTTCTTTTTGAGCGATGTGTATGTGTCACTGGGGAGAGGACAGTCTGGGTTTTCTCCTGAACCTGTTCCCACAACCTGACCACAGGTAAGGAGTGGCAGAAGGTGAATGGATAGATAAAAATATATTTACTTTCTCTGTACCCCCGCACCCCCAGCCCCATCAGAAGCTGACGACCCAACAGGAGACTGAGCGTCAGACGCTTCAATCCCTGCGAGGGAGCGGAGCTCTAACAGGGACGTTTCTCTCCACATCATCCCTGCCAGCAGGTTAGTTCTACACCTGTCGCCATCTTAAAGGTTTCTATTAAGGTTTCCATCTGTGGGGCGGCTGTGGCTGAGTGGTTAGAGCATTCATCCTCCAATGCAAGAACCCTGCATCCAGGTCTTAGCATCTCCAGGACATACCTTCTACACCCTGGAATGACAATACTTAACCTGAATGTGAGTGGTCTTTAGAGCACAGATATTCAGAGACATAACAACACTTCAAGTCTGACTGAGTGTGACACAACTTCTGTAGTGATAATTGGCTTCTCATCACCTGGCGGCACATCAGAGTCCTGGGTGGAGAGTGACAGCATGGGACTTATGCCCCTGTTCCACTGTTACGTTGCGAATCAGGTCAGTTCGGGTCGGTTCAGATCGGCTCGTGTGTCGTTGTGTTTCCATTTACACTTCTGGACCGGCCCTGTAGGCGGGGACCAGAATCCAACTCGTCTTACCACCTGGTGGCGGTAGTGCTCCCTTAAGCTACTTACTAGCCACCACTAAACGTATTAGAAGAAGAACACCCTGAAGGTTTTGTCACACGATGTTGTGGAAGAGATGTCATGCTCTAATGGAGCACCTCATGAGCTGTAACTTTTAAACCTGATTCATAATCCTACCTTACTGCCTTCCCTGCCTGCTGTAAATCCATGTGTTTTACATTTTAGTATAGATTTTTACAGTAAAGATGTATTAAAAATATCTTCACTTTTATTATTTACAGATATGCACAAGGTTCATGTTAAAATTGCAGAACATCACACTGTGCTGTAATCTTTGAAACTGCTTTTACAATAAGATACAGACTTGAAAACAATTAGATTAAATTTTGTCCTTAAATTTTAAAGGTTTGTATTTTAATCAATTTAAAAACATAAAAGTATTACTTATTAATCTAAAAATGTTAAGTCTGGTCCTCTGGACATTCAAAAAAATAAAACAAACAAACAAAAAACATTTATTGTTTATTTGTTTATATGTTTATTTATTATAAAATGTATTGTTTGTTTTGTTTTGTGAATGTCCAGAGGACCAGACTTAACTTTTTTAGATTTTTCTACCTGGATTATTGAGCAGCATCAGGATATTACTTAATAAATAGTCAGTTGGTCTGTGAACACCATGGGGTCCTAGAAGAGTTGAAGAGGTGGCTGTTCATGTCTGTGCCTCCCTGGTGAAGATGCTGCTCCCACAACCCTGAAGCAGAAGATGATGGATGGATGGATGGATGGATGGATGGATGGATGGATGGATGGATGGATGGATGGATGGATGGATGGATGGATGGATGGATGGATGGTGGATGGTAAAGGAGGAGACCATCAAACAGCAGGAGTGGTCATTTCAGTTGAACTCCTGCCTGTTTGCTTCAGATCAGCTGTTCAAATCTCTACAGGTTCAAATAAAAGGTGCACCAGGACTTTCAGCTGAATCTCTCGGGCCACAGTTGTACAGCTGATAAAGTGATGACTGATAACTGTCAACTGTCTTTTCTGAATTTTGGACTGTTTTTGTCTCACTTCATCCTAGAACCAAAAAATTTATAACATAATAACAGTTGAGCAGATTAACAACAAAGTCCATGCTCAATAATCCAGGATTACAATCCAACATTTTTCAGTCAGGTCATCTGGACAGTTTCTTTTTTTGTGCCGAAACGTTTCGCCTTCAATCTGGAAGGCTCCATCAGTCAAGGAAACACACAACAAAACTGATTCTTCCCCCAACAGCTTACTCCAAAGTGGAACGAACCAGATCTAAGATATGAACTAAGAAAAACATCAACTAAAAATATGATAAGCTCTAATAGCATAAAAATAATAAACACAATACGCCGAACAGCAGCACGGACATGAGTCTGTATGAAGCATGAACACAGCAACATGAAACAGATCAGCAGCAACATGAAACAGATCAGCAGCAACATCAAGCTGATCAGTATCAACATCAAGCTGATCAGCAGCAACATGATGTGATTATCCTGGTTAGATATTCATGAGGCTACACAAACTCAAGTTCATGTTGCTGTTTGACGTATTGTTTTGATTGTTTACTGCTATTAGTGCTTAATGTATTTATTAGTAGATGTTTTTTAGTTGATATTTTTCTTAGTTCATATCTTAGATCTTATTACTGTTTTTCTTGTACATTTTATTGTTGGCTGTAACTGGGACCCTGTGCACATAATTTCATCCCACCACATGTTCAACATGTGGTGCGTATTCAGTATTTATTCAACATTTTATGTTTTTACTTTACAAATAAAATAAAAGCAAGTCCTTATCGGCACAGATAAAGTGATGTGGAACATGTTGCATCTGTTCTTACCAAGTACAGAAGGCTGCAGCGTTGTGCTGCTCTGTGAGGTGCAGCTGGGCTGTGATGGAGATCTGTCAGGTTCAGACTCCGCTGATGGAGCAGGGGCAGAAGCCGGGAGGCTTGGAGGGTTTAATGTGGAGTTTAGAGACGAACCGTCAGTGAGAAACAGGACCGGAGGACAGTTAGCGTTTATGCAAATTAGCTTAGCATCGTAGCACCGATGTTGTCCTATTATGGCGTCTGTACTCATCCCTTTAGTTGGCAGCTCAGAACACCACATACAGAACACCATGGACTTTGTGGATAAGGTGAGGGATGTCATCATGGAGACTGATGAAACAATGGTCCCTTTTGATGTCACATCACTCTTTACGTGCATTCCTGTTGATGATGCAGTAGAGGTTGTCAGTTTAAGATTAAAATCAGACACCACTCTGAGCAGCAGGACCACACTTTCCACAGAACAACTGTGTCAACTCTTGAAACTGTGCCTGCAGTCAACCTACTTCACATATGGGGAGCAATATTATAGGCAGAAACATGGGTGTGCTATGGGGGTCTCCAGTTTCTCCTATTGTTGCCAACCTGTACATGGAGGAGGTAGAAAAGAGAGCCTTGACGTCCTTTTCAGGGACACCACCAAGTCATTGGTTCAGGTATGTTGACGACACTTGGGTTAAAATTAAATCCCAGGAAGTCCAACATTTTACTGACCACATCAACTCTGTGGATAAATACATCAAGTTCACACGAGAAGATGTAAAGAATGGCAGGTTGGTTTTCTTGGACTGTGAGGTCTCAGTCTCTGATAGAGGACATTTGCAAACTGAGGTGTACCACAAACCCACCCACACAGACCAGTATTTGCAGTTTGACTCCCATCACCCTTTGGAGACAAGTTAGGAGTCATCAGGACTCTGTATCACAGAGCAGACAGCATCCCCACTAACTCAGGAGCCAGGCAGAAGGAGAAATCCCACACAAGACAGGCTCTAGAGCAATGTGGATATCCTAACTGGGCCTTCCTGAAAGCAGAGAAGAAACCCAAACAGGACTCCAGTCAGCCATCAAGTGAAAAGGAGGAACCCAGACCCAGACCAGTGGTCATTCCATATGTTGAGGGAGTATCAGAGAAACTGAGACATTTATTTTCTAAACACAACATCCCAGTGGCTTTTAAACCCCAAAATACATTAAAGACTGGTTCATCCCAAAGATCCAGTCCCCCGGTACAAACAGAGTAATATTGTGTATGTTGTTCAGTGTCAGGAGGGCTGTGATCAGTCTTACATTGGGGAAACTAAACGGCCACTGGCCAAAAGGATGGACCAGCACAGAAGATCAACATCATCAGGCCAGGATTCTGCGGTCTACACTCATCTCCAGGCCAGCGGTCACTCTTTCAGGGATGAAGATGTTCACATCCTGGACAGAGAGGAACAATGGTTTGAGTGAGGAGTAAAGGAGGCCATCTTTGTGAAAAGAAATTGTCCATCATTAAACAGGGGTGGAGGCCTCCGGGTTCAACTGTCCCCCTCTTACAATGCTGTGATTGCTAGTATCACTCAACCCCGGGTGAATAGTACATGGTAAATGGACTGTACTTCTATAGCACCTATCTATCTTATTTCAAGACACTCAAAGTGCTTTACAACACAATCTGTGTCCTCATTTACCCATTCATACAGCACTCTACTAGATTTCTACAAAGCTAATTGAACAAATCATTCTAAAGAGACTAATCAGTGCTTTAGATCACATTCATACACTGATGGGACACACATCAGAGGCAATGAGGGGTTTAGTGTCTTGCCCAGGGACACTTCAGCATGTGACTGCTGGTGGATTCGAACCCCCAACTCTTGCATTGGAGGACGACTGCTCTAACCGCTCAGCCACAGCCGCCCCATGAATGAACTCAGCAACATGAAATAGATCAGCAACAACATGATGTGATTTTTCACAATTATTATCCTGGTTAGAGATTCGTAAGTCTAACTGCCTCAGGGTAGAAGCTGTTCCTCAGTCTAGTGGTTCTACACTTATTGCTCCTTAACCTCCTTCCTGAGGGGAGCAGAGAAAAAAGTGTGCGTGCTGGGTGAGCGGGGTCCTTCATGATGCAGTTGGCCCTCTTCCTGTATCTAGTGGTATAGATTTCTGTGATGGTGGGGAAGCTCACTCCAACAGACTTTTGTGCAGCCTTCACCACTCTCTACAAAGCTTTTCTTTCTGCAGCTGTGCAGCCTCCATGCACACGTTGATGCTCTATGTTCGGGGGGGGGGGGGGGGGGGGGGTGTTGGCTAGGTGTGTTTGTTCCTTTGGAAGTCCACAACCATCTCTTTCGTCTATTTCACATTGATATGAAGGTTGTTCTTCATGCACCAGCTCTCCAGGTTTTCCACCTCCTGCCTGTAGCTGGACTCATCGTTGTTTGTCAGGCATCCCACCACTGCTGTATCATTTGCAAACTTTACAGTATGACAGACTGGATAGGTAGGTGTACAGTCATACGTGAGCAGAGTGAACAGGAGACGGCTCAGCACACGTCCCTGAGGGGAGCCAGTACTGAGGGTTATGGTGGAGGAGGAGAAATTATGGATACTCACAAAGTTTTGTTTGAAACAAGTGATTTATTATGGTTTGTCTTCAGGTGCAATTCATGATGTGGAGACCCCCCCTTCTACCTCTCATGCAACCCATTCCTCATTGTTACAACATGTCCTTCTATTGGAGCAGGCCCGACAACAGACTGCGATGCTAGGTGGAACACATACACACACACACACAAACTCCTGAGCGTGCTCTTACTCTGCTGGTTCTGTGCCCCCCATCCAGTCCCCATGTACAATCAATCCCCGCTTGTCTCAGCAGAGAGATGTGTCAGCACCAGTATGAGGCCCATCAACAAGCTGCCTCGGCACCGACCACTGGCCCGCACACAGAGCGCACCTTTACCCCAGTCCCCCCAGGCCCTGCAGCAGCTGGTGGTCCATCAGCAGCACCAGCACTTCCTGGAGAAACACTACAAAGTACACACACACACTCTGCCAGCACGCACCCCGACAGGCACGTATCGGCTAACTGACATCAAGTTGTGTTTGTAGATACTGTCGAAGGTGGCAGACCTGCCCAGACCACCACCCACCCACCCAGAGGAGATCGAAGAGGAGCTAACAGAGACCAGTGACATGCAGGAGGATGAAGATCCAGGTCTTAACAGGTGCACAACTCCTGAAAACAGATCCTTTTTTCAGCTCCACATTGAACTTGTTATCCCATTAAACATGTGGCTGCTTATTTTCTTCCATTTAGACTCCAGAAGGAGGGATCTGACGACAGCACGCATTCATCGGAGCAGCATGACATGCCTGTGAAGGGCAAGGAAGAACCAAGGAACATTCACATTAAAGGGGAGAGCACAGACAGCGATCTGGATGAGGAGGACGAGGACGTCATACAACTCAGGGAGAGCGAGGAGGAGAAGGGGAGCTACTTTCAGGTTTGTGAAAAACCTTCATGTGTTTGTGCAGCTCGGCTTCATACAGATCTTCACTCAGGCAGCTGATGTTTGGAGTTGAGAAAATCATACAATATAATAATATAATTATATCCTTCAGGCTGTAGGTCCTGCTTCTTTCAGAGCAGGGTCAGTCACAATACATAATTAAAGCTGCAAGCAGCATTGAAGGCCATCGCAGCAAAGCGCCGCTCCGGCCTTACGGTGACCGCGGGAGCTCCAGAGACTCCGCTCGGTCGCCATCGCGAACGCTCTCTCGCCCGTGACGCACCCATTCACCAGGGTTCGCAACGTTCACCAGGGTGCACGTTCGCCGAACCTTCGACATCACCTGTGACCGCGGGAGCTCCAGCAAAGCCTCCCAGTCGCCATTGCGAACACTCTCATGCCATTCCCGCACGCGTCCACCGGGGTGCGCATATGCCGAAACTTTGCAATCACCTTCCACCCATATCAGTATGAGTCCTGCTGCAAGCTTTACAAGTTGGACTAAAATCTGACCTTCCAGACGGGAGTTATTGTCACTTCCTGTTTTGTCGCAAATGAAAAAGGACTTCTTTAAGGCTTTTCAACATGTCATATGTGGTAATCAAAAGTTAGCGAATACGGTTTCAGTCTTATATCTTACACAGTGACAGGCTGGAAAAGTCTCCCATTAATCATCAGTTTATTCTCTGAGTGGGCCAGTCTTAAGTCAAGTCATGAATCAACAATACCAGTGTGTCTACAAGTGCTCACTGATGAAGCACAAAAAAATCTGGTCTAGATCAGATCGTGTATCACTGAGATATAACTGTTGGAATAATCTAGAGGGAGTACTTGAGTCATAGTCAACATTTTTCAGTCAGGTCATCTGGACAGTTTCTTTTTTTGTGCTGAAACATTTCGCCTTCGATCCGGAAGGATTCATCAGTCAAGGAACCACACAACACAAAACTGATTCTTCTCCCAACAGCTTACTCCAAAGTGGAACAGACCAGTTATGTTGGTGCTAAGATGGTCTCTTTGTCATGCCCCTCCTCCATTGCTGGCCCTCTTCCTTGTTGACAGTCTTGTAAAACTGATTAAAAACAACAAAGTTCATGCTCAATAATCCAGGTATACAATCCAACATTTTTCATTCAGGTCATCTGGACTGTTTCTTTTTTTGTGCGGAAATGTTTCGCCTTTGATCCGGAAGGCTTCATCAGTTAAGGAAACACACAACACAAAACTGATTCTTCCCCCAACAGCTTACTCCAACGTGGAACAAACCAGTTATGTTGGTGCTAAAATGGTATCTTTGTCACATCCCTCCTCCATTGCCGGCCTTCTTCCTTGTTGACAGTCTTGTCAAACTGGTTGAAAACAAACAAACAACAAAAAAAAAAACTGTCCATATGACCTGACTGAAAAATGTTGAATTGTATACCTGGATTATTGAGCATGGACTTGATACGACTGTCAGCAAGGAAGAGGGCCGGCAATGGAGGAGGGGCATGACAAAGAGACCATCTCAGCATCAATATAACTGGTTTGTTCCACTTTGGAGTAAGCTGTTGGGGGAAGAATGAGATTTGTATCCTGATGCATGCTCAATAATCCAGGTTGAAAAATCAAAAAAAGTTAAATCTGGTCCTCTGGACATTCAAAAAAACAAAAAACAAAACAAAGCAAAAAAATGTAAAAACGTTTTGTCTCTCATCCAAAAGACTTCCTCAGTATGATTTGCTGTATTCAGCTCTGTCTGTTAAATAGCACCTTCTCAGAGTGGATCAACCAGTTTGCTGCTGACAACCAAAACCAGCTGATCACATGCTCAAGAAGGACCATCAGCCTTACAATGGATCATTAGCACACTGATGGCTGTTTACTGTTCACAGGGGGTTGAGTGATACTAGCAATAACAGCATTGTAAGAAGGGGACAGTTGAACCCGGAGGCCTCCATCCCTGTTTAATGATGGATGATTTCTTTTCACAAAGATGGCCTCCTTTACTCCTCTCTCAAACCATCGTTCCTCTCGGTCCAGGATGTGAACATCTTCATTCCTGAAAGAGTGACCGCTGGCCTGGAGATGAGTGTAGACCGCACAGTCCTGGCCTGATGATGTTGATCTTCTGTGCTGGGCCATCCTTTTGGCCAGTGGCCGTTTAGTTTCCCCAATGTAAGACTGATCACAGCCCTCCTGACACTGAACAGCATACACAATATTACTCTGTTTGTGCCGGGGGACTGGATCTTTGGGATGAACCAGTCTTTGCCGTAATGTATTTTGGGGTTTAAAAGCCACTGGGACGTTATGTTTAGAAAATAAATGTCTCAGTTTCTCTGATACTCCCTCAACATACGGAATAACCATTGGTCATTCCGTATGTTGTCACATCACTCTTTACGTGCATTCCTGTTGATGATGCAGTAGAGGTGGTCAGTTTAAGATTAAAATCAGACACCACTCTGTGCAGTAGGACCACGCTTTCCACAGAACTGTGTCAACTCTTGAAACTGTACCTGCAGTCAACCTACTTCACATATGGGGAGCAATATTATAGGTGTAAGGATGGTACTTTTCTGTGGCCCGGTTTGTGTCTGTTTCCCTCGTGCTCCCTTATTAGTTCCATTAGTGCCACCTGTGTCTCGTCCCAGCTGTTTGTTATCATGTCTCGTCTTCTACCTGTATTTAAGCCGTCCTATTCTGTCTTGTTCTTCGTTGGGTCGTCTTCATTGGGTACCCTTCCTTGGGTCTCCTGAGTCTTTCCCTGAGTCTTCCTGGTCCCTCGAGTTCCCCGTGTCTCTCGTGTCTCCTGAGTTCCCCGTGCCTCCTTCCTAGTTCATGTAAGTTTTGCTGCCCCGTCAGCTTGTTTATTTTGTACTTTTCGTTTATCATTAAAAGCCTATTTTTGTATTTCTGCCGAGTTGAGTCCTTGTTCTGCACTCTGGGTTCACTCCTGACACAAATCCTAACAATAGGCAGAAACATGGGTGTGCTATGGGGTCTCCAGTTTCTCCTATTGTTGCCAACCTGTACATGGAGGAGGTAGAAAAGAGAGCCTTGACGTCCTTGTCAGGAACACCACCAAGTCATTGGTTCAGGTATGTGAAAATGGCAAGTTGGCTTTCTTGGACTGTGAGGTCTCAGTCTCTGATAGAGGACATTTGCAAACTGAGGTGTACCGCAAACCCACCCACACAGACCAGTATTTGCAGTTTGACTCCCATCACCCTTTGGAGCACAATTTAGGAGTCATCAGGACTCTGTATCACAGAGCAGACATTATCCCCACTAACTCAGGAGCCAGGCAGAAGGAGAAATCCTACACAAGACAGGCTCTAGAGCAATGTGGATATCCTAACTGGGCCTTCCTGAAAGCAGAAAAGAAACCCAAACAGGACTCCAGTCAGCCATCAGGTGAAAAGGAGGAACCCAGACCCAGACCAGTGGTCATTCCGTATGTTGAGGGAGTATCAGAGAAACTGAGACGTTTATTTTCTAAACATAATGTCCCAGTGGCTTTTAAACCCCAAAATACATTACGGCAAAGACTGGTTCATCCCAAAGATCCAGTCCCCCGGCACAAACAGAGTAATGTTGTGTATGCTGTTCAGTGTCAGGAGGGCTGTGATCAGTCTTACATCGAGGAAACTAAACAGCCACTGGCCAAAAGGATGGACCAGCACAGAAGATCAACATCATCAGGCCAGGACTCTGCGGTCTACACTCATCTCCAGGCCAGAGGTCACTCTTTCAGGGATGAAGATGTTCACATCCTGGACAGAGAGGAACGATGGTTTGAGAGAGGAGTAAAGGAGGCCATCTTTGTGAAAAGAAATCGTCCATCATTAAACAGGGGTGGAGGCCTCCGGGTTCAACTGTCCCCCTCTTACAATGCTGTTATTGCTAGTATCACTCAGCCCTCTGTGAATAGCAAACAGCCATCAGTGTGCTAATGATCCATTGTTAGGCTGATGGTCCTTCTTGACCATGTGTGCAGCTGGTTTTGGTTGTCAGCAGCAAACTGGTTGATCCACTCTGTGAAGGTGCTATTTAAGAGGCAGAGCTGAATACAGCACCTCAGACAGGAAGTCTCTCGGATGAGAGACAAAACATTTTTACATTTTTTTTTTTTTTTTTTATGTCCAGAGGACCAGATTTAACTTTTTTGAATGAGTTTTGTGTTATGTTTTTCCTTGACTGATGAAGCCTTCCGGATCAAAGGTGAAACGTTTCAGCACAAAAAAAGAAACTGTCCAGATGACCTGACTGAAAAATGTTGGATTCTATACCTGGATTATTGAGCTTGGATTTTGTTGTTTTCAGCCAGTTTGACAAGACTGTCAACAAGGAAGAGGGCCGGCAATGGAGGAGGGGGCGTACCAAAGAGACCATCTTATCACAAGCAGAACTGGTTTGTTCCATTTTGGAGTAAGCTGTTGGGGAACAATCAGTTTTGTTGTGTGTTTCCTTGACTGATGAAGCCTTCTGGACCGAAGGCGAAACGTTTCATCACACAAAAAAAAAAAGAAACTGTCCACATGACCTGACTGAAAAATGTTGGATTGTATACCAGGATTATTGAGCATGGACTTTGTTGTTTTCAACCATTTTGACAAGACTGTCAACAAGGAAGAGGGCCGGCAATGGAGGAGGGGGCGTACCAAAGAGACCATCTTATCACAAGCAGAACTGGTCAGTCCATTTTGGAGTAAGCTGTTGGGAGAAGAATCAATTTTGTTGTGTGTTTTGTTAAAGACGGGAGCTGGCTGCTGGCCACCGGATCCAGAAACCCCCTCCAGCCCATGTCTTTTCCCACAGCTCGAACCTCCCTCAGAAGTGGCAACTCATTTTAACAAATAAATCAAGGAAACGTCAATTAAGTTTTATCAATTATATTAGAAAAGGCAGGAAAAGATTACAATTCACAGCGCTGGACTCTCCGGACTGTGACGCCACAGACCCGGAAGATCCTCGATGTCTCGTGTCATTACTAATTTATAGGGCCCTTA